GAAAAATTTTCTTAAGGATACAACGTGATTCGTTGAGCTCGAGTCATTATAATTTACATTTGAATCAAGAATAAAGGTATATGTTATGTTTTATTTGTTTTATATAATAGATATATTATTATTTGACTTTTTAACACTAAGTTTACTATAGTATCAATAACAATTACACTTTTCTACTCCTATGAACCATTTTTTTTATAAGGTAAAGAGAAATATCTTGACCATATCTCAACCCTCACGGTTTTTTTGGTTTTGGTCTTTGCGAGTCAGACACCTTGAGAGTAAGGAAGATATCCCCACTCTCCAAGCATCTCTAGTGAGAACTAAACCTGCTATCTAAAGATTGAAAGATACTTCCTCTATTTTTTTTACTTGACCTGTTTCTTTTATCACGCTTGCCAATGCAAAACTTTAACGGTCAATAACTTTAATTCTCCATAATTAAAAAATATAAAAATTATATGTCATGATAGTTCTTATTGAGACGAATTCGAAATGATCTAATATGAATATGTTTTTCCTTATATATTAATCACAAAACACGGTCAAAGGAGGGGTGGTGAATAGTGTAAAAGTTAAAGCGGGTCAAGTAAAAAAAATGATGGAGGAAGTACAATTTTTACTAGTAAACTAAGCTTAGCTTGATTAATCTTACAAATATTACCCAAGTCCTTTTTTACATTTGACTGAATCCAAAATTTAAAATTTCAAACCATAGTAAGAGCACTTTCACCAATGGGAAGAAAAATGCCCATGGGTAATTTTTGGGGTTTAATAAAAAAAATAACTCCCCATCAATGGTCTAAATTAAAAATGCCCATGGGCAAATCAATTTTTGATCAAAGTTTGGGCAAAATTAAAAAACTGACCAAGAAGAAGTGGGCCCACGTGCAAGCTGCATTTAAATTTTTTTTTGCTAAGCATAGCTCAAAACGCAGCGTTTTGAGGAAGCGTATGCTTTGCTTCACCTCAAAACTCTGCGTTTTGAGGGTAGGAAAAGCAAAAGAAAATGATTTTGGCAGCCCTGACAGGCGCGTCAGCACGCCCAATCAGGCGCTGACACGCGTCCTGTCAGGTGAGTTGGACCAATCAGGAAATTCCTGATAATTGCAACGGTAACAATTTTGTAACGGGTATTTTGTGCTTATAAAATTAAAAAAAAAAAATATACCTACGGCTAGAAAAAAAAATTCTCTACAAATAGAGACCCATTTTGCCTATATTTTCATATTTTCAAAATTCACATAAATTTGTTGTATTTACATTTTCTCTCAATTTCTCCCTCATAATTAGTCATCCTTTTATTATTATTATTATTATTATTATTATTAAAATAAATATTATTATTATTATTATTGGAAGTATAATTATTATTGTTATTATTTTAGCTTATTAATATTATTATTGCTGTTCGTTATTATTTTTTTATTAATATTATTATTATTATTATTTTTTATAATAGTTATTATTATTGTTATTATTGTGTTAGTTTTTGAAATTAATAAAAAAAAAATAGATATGGATCCCAATAACCTCTTTTACTCAATACTTTCTCAAAATTGTAATGATTTTGATGAGAATTTCATGAATCAACCTCAATTTCAACTTTTCCTACAAAGATTGAGCAACACCTCTCTGCAAAATCCTCCACAACAACAAATACCTCCACAACTTGAAATACCTCCACAAATTCCAACTGAAAACACTGATTACGAGCAATCACCTCCTGTCTACCAAGGAAGTAACTCTCAGTACGATGATAGCCAAGAAAAAAATGTGCCTGAGACACCTCAATACCCTCCGTCGACTCAAAGAATGCGGGTGGGTTCCAACCAACAACTCGCTAAAGCTAGTCGTATTTGGTCAGTCGCAGAAGATGAAGCTCTTATTGGGCTATATTTAAAATACAGTGGAAATGTGATAGTGGGTACGGGCATGAAAGCTGCTGAACTTTGGCGACAAATATCTGCGGCGTACGACATGGTTCAAGCTAAGAAGCCAGAAATACTACCACCCAGAAATGCGAAGAGTTTGGAGAACCGTTGGAGAAGGATGGCGGCAGATGTACTGTTATGGACAAGTTGTTATGATGAAGCGGGTCCGTTAACTGGAAGTGGATTCAACGAAGTTGATCGAATTCAAAAGGCCTCGAAGTTGTTCCATATATCAGCCAAACCACCACACAATTTTGTTTTTCCCCACGATTGGGAAATGATAAAGAATGACCCAAAGTGGAGGCCGAAACTCAGATGGGCATTGTCACTAAAGGAACGACAGGATTGTCAACTGCGTCCGAAAGGGGACACTGAGGATAGCAGTGGAAGTGGAAAGAGATCGAGAACTGACACTGAAGCTGAAGGAGATGTTCCCGTTGGTGGGTTTTCATCAGGAGGTATACCCAGACCCGACGGGGTAAAAAAAGAAAAGGCTAAGCGTAAGGAAAAGCTATTGCTCATGATAGTGCAATTTTAAGTATTGGTGAACAGATACAGACTTGTACTGAAGTTAGAAGCTTTGAGGCAAATTTACGGCAGCAAAGGTTGGAGCTTGAAAGGGAAAAGGAAAAGAGGAAAAACAAACAGGTCGAATTACAAGAGAAGAAGATGAAATTTGATATGTTGCAAGCAATTATGTCCAAAACGACACCACTTACACCAACTGAAGAAGCGTGGAAGGAGGAACTAATTCAAGAAGTGTATGGTGAAAAGTAGAGTAGTTTATTATGCATTATGATTTCAAGTATTTTGTTTATTTTATGTTGCAATGAATTAATTTTTATTATTAATTATGTTCCAAAAATTTATCAAATTATATTACATTTTCATATATTTTGTTCAATTATGAGTGAAGTACTAGCTACTGTGTAGATTTTTGTCTTATACAATTATAAGTCAAGTGGTTGGTTTTATCAACCATTGAACTGTCAAATCCCAAAAAGTAGTCAAGTCCAATTGTAGTTTTTGTTTTATACAACCATTGAGTAGTCATTTCATACATAACTTCAACCGTATGACAAGCATTGGTATTGATTATTAAGAATTGAGTAGTCATGTATTTTGTTTTTACTATACATTGAGTAGTCAGTTCACACTCAGTTGAAGGACATGCACTGATAACATTTCCTATTTAAAGGTGTGAAATCCATAAATTGATCCACAACACCAAAACATTCAAAAACCAAACACAAAAAATGTTTTCCATAAGCTCAACCTCAAGCTCAAATTCTTCTGATTCAGATCAATATGCGGAATTTGAAAATATAGTTGACGAATTTGTCACAAATCACTTACCTAACATAATGCTTCCTCAACCACCTCCATCCGAGACCGAAATTGTAAATGAAGATGAAACAATCCCGCAACATAGGGGAGATAGAGAAAGGGAGAAAGGGCATTTGCAATTGTACAATGATTACTTTGCAATAAATCCTGTGTATTCCGAAAATCAGTTTCGTCGTCGATTTCGAATGCACAAACCTTTATTATGTCGGATTATGAATAAAGTGGTTGAGGGCGATCCGTTCTTCCAGCAGCGTAGGAATGCAACTGGTAGGCTTGGCTTATCACCTCTGTAGAAATGCACCGCTGCAATAAGAATGTTAGCGTATGGTGTTGCTCCGGATGCCGTAGATGAATACATACGCATGGGTCAAACAACATCTAGAAAATCAATGCAACATTTTACTCAAGGGGTGATCAAGCATTTTGAGGCCGAGTACTTAAGAAGTCCAACAGATGAAGATTTAAGGAGAATCCTTCACTAAAATGAAATGCGTGGATTCCCGGGCATGATCGATAGCATCGACTTCATGCACTGGGAGCGGAAGAACTGTCCTATGGCTTGGAAAGCACAATACGCAGGTCGTAGCAAGAATGCAACCCTTATCCTCGAAGCTGTTGCGGATCAAGATTTATGGATTTGGCATGCATTTTTTGGAATACCCGGCTCTTGTAATAATCTGAACGTCCTATACCGCTCTCCGATGTTTGACGATGTTTTGAAAGGTCGGGCACCACCAATTAGTTTTATGGTAAACGGCCATGAGTACAACATGGGATACTACTTAACAGATGATATATATCCGAACTGGGCAACATTTATACAAGGTATCACATATCCTCAACTCCAGAAGGACAAGTTATTTGCAGATAAACAAGCTGCAGCTCGGAAAGACGTTGAACGTGCGTTTGGAGTTCTACAGGCTAGGTTTGCCATATTACGACAACCTTCACTTGCTTTCGACGAAGACATTTTGAGCGACATAATGAAAGCTTGTATCATTATGCACAACATGATTGTCGAGGATGAACGGCACAATTACACTCGTGCCGAAGTTTTGAGAAGGTATTACGAAGAAGATCGCCCTCAGCTTCATAGAGCAAGGTCCGGTCCGAGTACAAGTGCCACAGTGAATAACAACGAGCCTTTCGAATTTGACATTGGCCGACCACCAAACGTTGATTTTGACGCGTATATTCAAAGAAGAATTACCCTGCGTGATAGCCAAACCCATTTTTCTTTGAAAGATGATTTAGTTGAGCATATTTGGCAAAAATACGGTCGTAATGAATAAATAGTTTTGTAATCGTTAATTTATTTGGTTTGTATGATTGGTGTACGATCATTATGTTTCAATGTTGTAATCGTTAATGTTGTACTAATGAAAAATGAAATTTTGCATAAAATAATGACACAAATAATTAATATTGTACTCATAAATAATTTAACCAATAAAAAAATTTAGTTAAGAATAAATATTATTATTTTATTAAAAAATACATTTTGCAAAAATTAATATTAAAAATAATTAATATTGTACTACTCATAAATAATTTAATCAATACAAAATTTTGTTAACAATAAAATTAAGAAATACTAAAATTACAAATTTAATGATGTGTAGGAGAGATAAATATTGGTGGGGTATAGGGTTAAAAATAGGAGAGAGAATGGTGGGAATTATAATTTTTGACCATTGGTGTACAATAAAAATGACCAAGAAAATGCCCAAAAAAATGCCCGTGGCAATGCTCTAACCCTCATTGAAATTTCCTTCTTCCAAAGTCCCAGCCATAAACCCTAAATCCTAAAATCCAATTTCTCCAATTCATTTCTCAGCAATTGTTCTGTAATCTTAACATTATCAATAATGGCGTTTGCTCAGAATCTTCGTCAAATCTTTAGCAGAGCTTCTTCTTCTGCTTCCCCGATTCTATCGCAGCTATCTTCAATTCGCCTCAACACCACACTCACTTCTCCTAAGCTCTTCGTCAGCGGTATGATAAACTCCCTTTTTTTTTCTTCTCAAAAATAAATTAATTCCTCTGTTTTTTTGGTAAATGATCAATCTTTGCTTTTGTTTAAAGTTCATTGCATTATTTATTTATGTGTAGACTGATTTATTCTTTTCCATTTACTATGAATCGATGGATTGTAGATGTTGAGACCACTCGACTAGCTTAGTTGATTAAAATCTTAGGGTAGTATTCGAGACATGCCATCGATTCCGGTCTATACCAAAACCTTTGTGGCTCATGGATATGTTAAAGATGCACTTGAATGGAATAGTTAATTGCTATTTTGGGTTGGCACTTGGTAAATGTAAGGATAGCGAGAAGAAGATAATTTTAAGCGTAGCTTAGAGTTTGGTTGATAAATAGGAATATTTAACAATTTCAAAATTACATTTTTAAACATTGGATTTGGATTTTCAGTTTCAATGGAGAAATTTAGAACTATGCAAGATTCAAGATATTTCGGTTTCAATCGAGTAGATTCTCGTTATATATGTTTGATTAGGAGAATATATGTGTGATTTAGGATTTGAGTTGTGTTTGAGAAGTTATGAGAGAAAGAAGGGTAAGTTCAGATGCATTTGGTTTCTTAATTCTCCGCTTTTGTACATTTTCATTTCACAATTTCTAATTGGAAAAGGTGTGGGATGAGTAAAAATGCAATGGACATAACAAGCTTGATTGCAAGAGATTGCAATATCACTACAATAATTTTAAATTTGGTGCTTTTTTGGACTTGTTAATTGTCTCTAGGATATTTGACAAAGGAATACTGTTAAGTTGAAGTGCAAAAATTATTAGGTTTGGACTTCAAAAGGTTTTTTTTCTTCTTTCTTTCTTTCTTTATAGCCTCATTTTATTATTTGTGCGTCACTCTGTTATCGCCTAATATCCTTCCTGCATCAACATGGTAGGGAATATTGCACTTGTGTTATTTAGTGAAATTACTGAAGTTCTGTGCCATAGTTTTAATATGCAAACATACGGTCTTTGTAATTTTCATATTTATTGTGAATTTTATACGGTCACTTGTTTTTCTTCTTCTAAAAGCGTAAGGAATGTTCTTTTTAGTAAGCAAATGGCACATTGGCAATCATGGAACATTAGCAAGAAGTATCCTCTCAACCCCAATAAAAAAAAAGGGGGAAGTTGTGGGTTAATGCATATATATTAATCATATAATGTTCTTGTGCAAATTTCAAATTTCAATTAAATAACCCTCATAATACGAATAATAGTTACCCACCCTCCCTCTAGTGTAATAGTTCCCCATTCTTCACTTATTATCACCACCACTACATAAAACTCCTTACAATCACACCATCACTATCTCCTCCTCCCCTATGTTTACTTTCATTTTGTTTAGTTCGACTTTTATTACCCTGGTAAAAAGTAATACATTACTCTCAATCCAAGCATGTCAATATATGAACTTATAAGAACAGTTTTTCCTTGAAAAAAGAGAACATGACAATAATCAACTTTGAGGAATTTTGAGGCTATTAGGTTATTGTTGTAAAATTTAAGAAGAGTCCTTGCCTATTTTTTTGGTTTGTGTATTTCAGACAGCCTTTGAAAGGAATGTTGCCTTTCTTAGCATAGCCAGCATCAACGTTAAAGATGTTATATCTGTCAAATTGCAGCTGTTCTTAATACATAAAGAATTTAAACAAAAAAAAAAAAAAAAACCCCTATTTCGTGCTTGTCATTAGTTATAATACACTCTATGATAGCTCGTATAATTGTCTTCATTCTACATTTCATTGTGAAGTTAATGTATAACAGTGAGGTAGTTTATTGACCATTCCATAATGATCATACTAGTACCAACATTTTAACTTGCCTGGTTGTAAGGACTCATTTTTATTATCAACGATGAGCTAATTGTGTATATGCTAGCAGCTAGGTTTCTGTCTGACACTCTTACAGAGTTACAGCTTGTGCCACAATGCAGAACCAGAAAGCTACATGCTCTTGATCAACTGATTGTTATATTGATCTCCTAAGTTGATGTGATCACTTGCACTTTGTACTGTTGTTGCGTGCAACTCATTATGAACCAATGTACTAAGCAATCATATTTAGAGAAATTGAACAATATGTACAACTCTCTCCATACTGTTGTTGACCAAGTTTTATGTTAGACCATAGAGTCACCTTTTCAACAATAGTTGCTAACTAACTACGGAATATATTAACATGTTCATTAACTTAATATCACTAAAGTAATGGAAAGGTGGCAATTTTCTCTTTGCAATGTCCCCAGTGCCACACACCAATCTACAATTTACTTAATTGAGGATTTTTTTTATTATTATTATTATGAAAAAAAATTTAGAATTCGTGTTCACTGATGACTAATCACTAGGTGTTGGTTAACTAAAAAATTTAAAGAACTTTCTTTTCTCAGTATTTGATATACCTATTTTTAGTGAATGACTAATTTCATGAGTTTCCAATTTTGGATAAAAATATTGAAAGTTACAGCTGCTAAAAATTGTATTTATTGGCTATATCAATTTTGAGAGTGTTTATCTTTGGACTTTGTGGTACAGGACTTAGCAGAATGACTACAGATGAAAAATTCACAGAAGCATTTGCTCCCTTCGGGCAACTTGTTGAAGGTATCTTTGAACTTTTGAAGTTGCTTGTCTGAATTTCAATCAGGTTCTTGGTGTTTTTGTAGTTGGCAGTTAATCAATTCTTTATGATAAATGCAGCAAAAATCATCGTAGATAGACCTACAGGAAAGTCGAAGGGATTTGGTTTTGTAACATATGCCACTATAGAAGAAGCCGAAAAAGCACGTGAAGCAATGAACGCTAAGTTTTTGGATGGATGGGTTATCTTTGTCGATCCTGCCAAGCCAAGGGAGCCTAGACCGCCACCGCAACACGAGTCACAACCTCAACAAAATGGCTATTCTGTAAACAAGACTGTCGGATATTACAGGCAATAGAAGTCTGCTTATAATCACAAGCAGAATTAAATTAAAAAGATAGTATATAGCCAAGGTACTGATGCATTATTGGAAATGAGGGGCAAAAATGCCCCAATCATTGTTTGATGATTCATTTAAAGTGTACACTAAAACAAATTCGGTCAGTTTAGGCCCTTTGCTGTATAATTGTTGAACCTTTTTCTGTTTTTTTGGTATCATTAATGCCTGCAGTTGCACCATGTACTATACTAACTGTATGTTGTTGCTGGTAACGTATGTCGACTGGCAGGTGATGGTTATGAGAAACAGGTTAGCTAATCCTCGCTAAATTAGGTAGTAATTAAGCTTTAGTATCTCTTTTATACTTGTGGACTAGAGCTTGGATCCAGAATTGAATTAATTTGTAATCTACTCTGCCTACTTGATTACGTGTATGAACTACACAATCCAAGCCTACATAGACACATAGCAATTGAAGTCATATGATTTGATTTTGCGTTGAGTCTAAGTCTACTAGATTACTAATGATTCAATTCAAAAATAACAATGGATGGATAGGTCATGTTAGCAATTAGACTATCGTGAGCTAGTAATGCGCGCGCCATAGCTAGCTGTATTCGAAACTCTTTCGGTTTGACTTTACTTCACAAATTTATTTCTTGGCACCATTAATGGGGAAAAAAAAAAAACAAATATGATTAGGGGTGTAATTGTCCATGCAATATTCCTAAGAGTACAAAAAAGGTAATTACAATCTTAGAGGGTATAATTGCCCTATCACTATTCATTACACAAAACTTGTACATATTAATGAGGGTATGTATATAAATATATATTTGTAAGGGTATATTGGCAGCATACTATTCGTCAGAGTAATCTTGTACTCTCTCCGTTTTTTTATTATTTGCATTACTTTAGTGGTTTGTTTTTTTTTTTATTTTTTATTTTTTTATTTTTTTATTTGCATTACTTCTATATATGATAACTTTATACTATATTTTATATTTCTCTATCTTACTTTAAACCCAATTTATCATTTCTCTCTCTCTCTCTCTCTCTCTCTCTCTCTCTCTCTCTCTCTCTCTCATGGCCCTTACAACTCTCTCTCACGTACTTTTACTTTCATGGTCACCACATTACTTTTACTACAGTATAATATATTCATCCACTCACATTATTGATTAATTTGGAACGAATTGATTATTGTTTATATGTCTTTTAGGTGGCAGTTAATACATTTCGAGTAGAGATTAATACGAACGAAATTGACTTAGCGACTTAATCCATACCAACATCTCCAAATATCGATCCAGTCATGATTGATGACCATTATGGAATTAATAATCTCATGGATTATGAAATAAGGGTGTAACCTTCGTGGATCAAATCGTTATTGCCTTCGGTTTTGTCCCTTTTTGTGGTTGCTTTAATGATCTATGAATGGTTTACAAGTTCCTTAAAAAAACTTGTTGGCGACTCCCTATTTTTTGTCATTTTCATTATATGTCAAGTCCAACTTCATATGATTGACAAGCATATTCACAACATGCTCCACGTAGGCGCAATTCGAGCGATGCTACATTTAGCAAGTAAGAATTGGATTATGGAAACTAGTGGATTGCCAAATGATCATAAAAGTGAATTAATAAAGGAAATAAAAGCATACTTGGAAAATAAGTATAGGAAATTTAGAATCAAAATATATATGATCTAATATAACTAAGATTTTATTGTATGAAAACAGAAAAATCTAGGAATTTAATTAATTGGAATAATTGTCTAGAATAATCTCAACTTTGCTTTATTCGTCCAAAATAATCTCAATCCTTGATATTTTTTAAATTATCAAAACTTTAATATAAATATGCTTCCATGATCCCTAATTACTAGTACCTATTGAATAGGTAAATTTTTTTAGGAAATTTGAATTTAACACCAGAAAAAAGCACGAATTTGGTTTTTAACACTACAAAAAAAAAGTTTAATTTTAACACCAACAAAATTTTAAAAAATTGGCTTTTGCCACCACTTAACTGATTCATAGATGAAATTCGTTAGTGGGGCTTACAATGCCTAAATGTTAGCATATTATTGGTCCAAAAATAATAATTACTTTTTAATTAAAAAAAACCCTAAAACTACCTAGCCACCCACCCCCACCTCCGGCAGCGCGCCGCCACCACTCCTTCACCTTGAGAGCCCTGTTCCCAGCCCCAGACACGGCAAATACCCTCCGTTCCTTTGGCCCACCCCAAAACCGACAGCCTTCCCCAACGACTACAAAAAATGATTGTCTTTTTTTAAACACCTTAAAAACGGCTTCAAGTGGTCGAAATTGGTTGATTTAGGGCCGAAGTGGTTGATTTTGACCATAAATGTGCCCGATCGTCCGAATTAAACATTTTTTTTTCAAACTTATTATTTTTCGAGATCTATGTGCCTCAAACCATTTCTCATCTCCATATAACCAAAAACAAATTAAAATTCCTAATTCGGCAAAAAAGGGGTGCAACACGAGGACTTCCCAGGAGGTCACCCATCCTAGTACTACTCTCGCCCAAGCACGCTTAACTGAGGAGTTCTGATGGGATCCGGTGCATTAGTGCTGGTATGATCGCACCCATTTACTTATAGCACTAATTTGTATTTATACCCTTTCCGTCTCCTGATTTCCTTCGTAATGCCTTAACTTTGTGCCCGATCGTCCGAATTAAACATTATTACTACTCTCGCCCAAGCACTCTTAACTGTGGAGTTCTGATGGGATCTGGTGCATTAGTGCTGGTATGATCACACCCATTTACTTATAGCGCTAATTTGTATTTATACCCTTTCCGTCCCCTGATTTCCTTCGTAATGCCTTAACTTTGTGCCCGATCGTCCGAATTAAACATTTTTTTTCAAACTTATTATTTTTTTGAGATCTACGTGCCTCAAACCATTTCTCATCTCCATATAACCAAAAACAAATTAAAATTCCCAATTCGGCGAAAAAGGGGTGCAACACGAGGACTTCCCAGGAGGTCACCTATCCTAGTACTACTCTCGCCCAATAATGTGTCTATTTTATATAGTGTTTTACCCCCATCCCATGGTCATAATTAGTAGTGTTTTTGGCTCTTTAGAGCCACTTTTATTACTAATTGGTGTTTTCTAGTGTTTTCGTAGATTTGGTTCACTTTTGTAGGGATTTGCACTTTTGGAGCATTTTCCCGAGATATTATGGAGCAATTACGAGCATTGGAGAAGCACGACCAGTTTTTATAGCCTAGGGCCGGTTAGAGCCATCGAACCGGTGATTAAGGGCTCGGTATATGTGATACCGGGGCATTTGGACCAAGTATTCAAGACCCGAAGAGGAAATCCATATTGGCCCAAAAAATTAGAACCCAATCGTAGTCCAAATAGTGGTCCAAGAGTGCCGCCCGGCCAAAGAGGCTGGCGCCCGAAGGCGCGCCCGGTCGGGCGAGGGAAGCAAAGGCTAGCGCCCGAACTCGCGCCCGGTCGGGTGCGAGATTAATACTTGAGAGGAAAAAGGCGCGCTCGATCGGGCGCGTGTTATTATTAGATGTTAATTAATTCGACGTTTAAGTTTGTTTTAGTTTAGGATTCTTACGGAGTATAAATACTTCTCCGTAAAACGAGTTTAGGACCTTCTTTTCACTCTTTCTTAATTATTTCTTAGATTTTCTCTCTACTTAGCTTTTAGATTAGTTTCTCTCTCATATACTTTGTTCTCAACTTTATTCTTAATTCCAGATTTATTTGGTAACGATTTCTCTTCTCTTAATCTTAGTTATTTATTTTATTCCTTTGATCATGTCTTGTTTTATTGCTTTGATTAGTTTAGTTTTTATTATGTGTGAGTAGTTATATTTCTAGGGTTTATGGGGATCCATAAATAATATGAAGGGGTAATTTATGGTTGTTAATTGTCAATGCTAGATTAATTTCCTATTGATTGATTTAATGCTCTGTGACTAGATTTGCGCAGATCTTTTATGCATGAGTTTAACAATATTGATTCGAGATTCGACAGATGAGAATTGATATTTAGGTCTAGTTTCAATAGGCAGGTTAATTTATAAATGGTTAAGTCGAGATTCGAGAGATGAGATTTAATACCGGTAAATTAATTGTGTGATTGTAATACGTAGCGAAAGCCCTTTATGATCTGATTAATGTATGCACTGATGATTGATTATTATGTTTTACCCTGGAATATTATTTATTGGTGAACCTATTCCCTAGGCCTTTTATTCATTGTTTCTCCCCCTACTTTTACTCTTAGTAGTTTAGTTTCCTTCGATTATTATATTTTGGTTACTTTATAATCTAGATTATATTAATTAATTAGGAATAGAAAGACTCGTTTCTCTGTGGATTCGACCCTACTTCCCTATCTACATTAGTTAGAGGATTTAGGAATTACATTTGATTAGGGGATACGACTTTACCCTGTCAAAATTTTGGCGCCGTTGCCGGGGAAACGATTTTATTTTTCTTTCTGATTATTTTTTGTAGTCTAGGTTATTTCTTTTTTTTGTCTCAGAGAACGTTAGTTCTTTGAGGCAAGTCTCATATTTGCTTTTAGTTTTTTTTGTTTATGCCCAGGTGTTCCAGATCAGGGTACATCCCATTCGATCTTGAGATCGAACGATCCTTTCATAGAAAGAAGAATTTCTACAAGAAAATTCTGGCGGATTCTGGTGGTAATAATAATCACCGAGATCCTCCAGCTGATTCTAGCGATTCAGAGGTATCATCAGATCCAGAATCAGAGATGACGGCTTCAAAGAAGCTTAGTGATTACTCACAACCAAAGCTTATAGATTTTCCACACCTCACTCCCACTCAGGCTCTTGATGGGGTATAATTTGAGATTAAACCCCAATTTATAACGATGATAGAAAGGAAGCAATTTAGTGGAGCTAAGGGTGAAGACCAAAATCTTCATATTGCAGACTATTGTCAGTACTGTAATACCATCAGGCAAGCTGGGGTCACACAAGACCAAATCTGGGAGATTCTCTTTCCTTTCTCTTTAACTGGAAAAGCTAAATTATGGTTTAATGGTTTAAATAGAACTGCACTTGGTATAACTGACTGGGAAACTCTTGTTTTGAATTTTTATAACAAGTATTATCCTGCAGAGAGAACAACCGTACTACGGAGTGCAATTCAGAACTTTGCCTAAGAAGCTGATGAAACTTTATATGAGGCTTGGGAGAGGTTCAAGGACCTACAAAGAGAATGCCCCCACCATAATTTGGCACAATGACTGTTAATCCAAGCCTTTTACAATGGCATTGGAAATT